GGACCTGTCGTCAGACAGAACACTAAATAATAATAAGATGAGGTGGTCTAGGCAACACGGAGTTTTCTTCCGTGGCATCCCAACAATTACTCCATTTACACACAGAAGAAGGCAATGGCAAAGCACTTCTGGATCATCTGCCAAGAACGTATATGAACAGGTCCCAGTCCGAGAAAAGGATGGAAGGATCCTGTTCATATGGACCTGTCGTCAGACAGAACACTAAATAAAAAAAGTGTACGAATTAATACGTACACAAATTAGTGGGTTTAACTCTCGATATGTTTGTTATCGATTCATTAAAAATGCGACTGTTACAGAATTACTGAATCCTATGTTAAAATCATAATCTTATAATTGAGCATCAAACTTTTTTTTTACTGAAACAAAATTTTTATATGAGTTCAATAACAGTTTATTAAATATATACACCTTTATATTCCTAATTAATATATTCACTGCTTGTTTATCAGTTTCAAAATCGATAAATATTTTTTTTTAAATTTATTTTCGAAAGTCGTGATTACTCTTGGCATTTTTTCTTCCGTAGATTTGATCGTAAGAATAAGTAAATAATTAAACAAGTCGTCTGTCTCTTACTGGATTTGGGAAACAATGGAAATGTTTTTGGTAAACAAGTTTTGTAGGTTACAATGACCAATGCTTTAACCTTAAAGAAAGACTCCCGTTTGGGTTAGTTTAGGTTAGGTTAGGTTAAGTTTGGTTAGGTTTAGGTTATGTTAGGTTAGGTTAGGTTAGCCTCATGACCTCTTTGGGCTGGAAATACGTACTTTGCAGAATTCTGAGGACACGAATTTGTATACGTCATGTTTCTCGAAGCTCAGGTTACCTCTACAGGTGATCCGGATGTTGTTTGTGGTCGTGGCCGAGTTCTTCGTATGCTGGGCTCCTTTGCACGTGCTCAACACGTGGTACACATTCAACCCCGATGCGGTTTATCGCACCGTGGGTAGCACAGGCGTGTCTCTGGTACAACTTCTGGCCTACATCAGTTCCTGCTGTAACCCCATCACGTACTGCTTCATGAACAGAAAATTCCGACAGGCTTTCCTTGGAGTTTTCGACTGCTACAGATGCTGGAGGTAAGGAGGACAAATTCGTATTTATTAAGTTTACTATAATCTCACCCTCGTCTTTAAATCGAATATAAGAGTCTTAACCCTTTAAAGCCCAATGGTAACTATATGTGACACGTGTTTAAATAATTGGTAACTCTTTTTTTTAACTTTGTACGAGTGTATTCGTGGACTGGTGTGATTCTAAGAGGAAATAGATAATTTTCGTGGACAGGGTTTATCAATTGGTCTTCGAAATGGTGAGGCGTTGTATTTTCTTCGCGGTACGTACTGAATTGTTAAAAGTAATATTCAGATGAACATGTCTTTAGCAAAATTACTAACGCGTTACGTAATTTACTCCTATAACTTTCACCTTTCTCCTGTTTCGTTAAATTTTCTGAGTTTTTTTTTTATCCGAAGGGTTAAATCTTGCAAGTTACGACGGTGACTGTGTTTATGTTATTTTGGGTTCTGACCCCATGTGGACTGATCGGTAGATGACGTCTGTCTCCATCTTCAGGTTATCTACTGACTAGTCTACACAGCATCAGAATCCCAGCTGCTCTGTTTCGTGTTTCCTCAGCTTGTACTGCTGCTGTTGCTGTGCTAGTGACGTAGGTCCACTGCGTTCTTCTCGTCTGGGTGGCCTTCAGAGGGACGGTGCAGTCCTCGGCGGTTTGGGCGGTAATAATTCGGACGTTTCCGGAAACGACTCGACTGTGTTCGTCGGCAGAGCTAGTGTGGGGGTAAGATCAGGTGAGGTGCAATCCTGTTACGTGTTACTAAGGTTTTTTTTTGCTGGCAAAGTTTGTTATTCCAGTGTTGACCGCGTCGTGTGTTGAAGTTTTTCGAGCGTTCTAGCAAAACTTTGTAGGTTACGTCTTCAGAATGAATGTCTTTTGTCTTTTGAATACGTAATTCAGCGCCAAATTGAAGTGAAGTTCAGAATGAATCATGGCGAAGCTGAAAGTGATCGTGGACTGTTTCAACGAAGAAGAATAACAGCAGTGCTACGTATTACGTTCTTTGAATGTTTTCATCACGTAAATTAGTGACTGTAATAGCTAATTTTAGCAGCACGTGTAAGGAGATTATTTCATTTGGCCTCCGTTGAAGAATTTGAAAGAAATCGGACACTTTGACTCGTAGCTTTTAGACAATGAGATTTAACGCCGATATTAAAGGTTGCTGAAAGTGTGATGACTTGAAGCTTGGTTTCAGAAGTGGTGGAGCTGGAAGCCGAGGATCGTGTTTAGCAACGCGGGGGTCGGGGAAGAACGTTTACACGCTGCTGGTGGTGGTATTGTTCAGACTCCGCCTGCTGGACATGGTTCATTCCGTTACCGCATCACGTGGCGGCGCTCCAGTCACCAAGCGACTCGACATTTTGGCTCGACTTCCGGTAGCCATTATGATAGCAGCGGCAGCTGTAGTTGTACGATTTGTCCACCAAGCTCCAGTTCCAGCGATCTTTACTCGTAAAGGAGCCCGGCCCTAAAGGTAACTCGGAACATGATCTGTTCTACATTAATGTCAGTGCGTAGTTGTGAATTTCGGAGGGAAATATTACTTTTTTAAGATCTTCGGTGCGAAGTTTAAAAAAAAATGCTGATTTGTTTAAACAGCGCTGAAAAGTTATCTTTGTAATGGAGACGCGGCGTGTTTGCTTTGAGGTAGGAAGTGAAATTTTTACGATGTTAAAAGGCGAATTCATACACATCATACAGCCTTCGTTGTATTTCAAGATGTAGTGATTGTTATTTTTAATGTTAGGTTATGTTTCGGAAAAAAAAAACTATCATATCTCATGCGCATTTCGAGAGCTGTTAATTTTAATTACCACGTACCCTGAGATTACAACTAATATTAATATTCTCAGTTTGTTGGTAAATTAATTGAAAGAAAAAATACATTTTATTTATCGTCTTTCCTGTTAGGTATAAAAATCGTTCTAATTGTGTGACGATCGATACCATATTTACGTAAATTCTATATGTCGACTAGTAAAATCGATACATCTGATACGAATAGCTCTTACACTTTTTACTCGTTCGAATCATTTTTCTTTTGTGATTCCTTTTACAGTTTGAATGAAGATTCACAGGATTTGTTGACACTTCGGCTGTTCAGCACAGAATAACAAACTAAAATTCGTCCACTTGAAGATTAATGCTTAGAGTATGGAAGAATTCGTGACTGAGTGATGGAATTCTTAAATTTTACGTATGTAGCGAGTGCAATTTTTGAAAAATCAATTATTCGTACGAATATTTTCATATAATTTGTCTGTCATCAATAACTTCACGTGATATGTAACACACGATTTTATAAACTTATTTTTATTGATATAAAGAAATCTCGGAACGTAATTTATATCTTCATGTTCGATGTTTCGATATTTCTGACTTTGAAAAAAAAAATAACGAAATTGTGAAAATTATAATTTTTTAAGTCTGTGTTAACAAATACGTAATTGAACTTGTGAATACGAAACTATTATTCGAAATTTTAGTTCACTGCTAAAACATACAGGATATTCCAAAAAAAAAATATATACACCTATGTGTATACGTCTTTTTGGAACATTCTGTACGTGTTAAAATTTAGATTCCAGCTGTGTATCACAGGATTCTGTATCTTTCTTCAGTTGAGATGCATTTATTTTACCCATTTGAATCTTAAATTCCCTCATATTGGGCAAGTCGTAGGTATTTTGAGGTGCATTAGGTTTAAATTTTACGTATTTCAATCTGCTTTACACACCACGTCATATTTCGGTCACACGTGATCATAAGGGCGTTCATTTACGTAAACATTTGTTTTACGTATCATTCCGACTACACATTGAAACACACACAGGCCAACAAACTTTTATAAAGCTTAATTAATTTTCATTTCACTGCCTTAAATTTATATTTCAACTGGAAATCTTTAATGTTAATTGCCTATTAATAAAACTATTTCCGTAAAAGCTAGGTTAGTAAGTCATCATCAGCGTACAGTTTGATCTTGGAGAATCGATCTGGTCGACATCTGAAATTATTCATGTCTTTCATATCGATAAAAATCGATCTTGACATTAAGGTACCATCTTATTGTAGCTGCAGTGCAACTGTGATGTGTTATTAAACAACATTTTACTGTTGGAACTTTTAATAACTAAAAACGATGTTATTACGACATATAAAAATATTTCCGTTCAAAAGGTCAGTATTATTTATACATTCGTATGAATGTTTTGTACGTCTGTTGGGCAGATTTTTCGTAAATTTTAATATATCGTAATATACACGTAATTATTAATTTGGTTATGTGTAAACAGCGACATATTTAATGTTTTTCAAGATGTTAAAAGTATTGTTACGTATTATTCAGTGGCAAAATGACGTACAAGTTGTATGCAGACTTAATTATGTCCAGTTAATGTGAAATGTTTCATAAGTAGATCCAAGTAGCGTATTGCATTTCTAAATTTGTGCAGACAACTGATATTTCAATATTATTGTTTCTAATCGTGTAATGCATTTTAACGAAGCCGCGTAACATCTGTCTTTTGTAATGATGTAATCTGTCTTTATCTGATAAATCAAATTATTCCCTTGTATTTGTGTCGAATGTCATTTACCACTCGTAAAGAATCCTGGAGGCTTATCAGTGGATAAATCGATCTTTAATGTATGACTTCGTACATTGAAACGGTAATAATCTCGTTAAAGTTCTGTGAATTTTTTCAACCCTTTGTAAGTCAGTGGTAACTATATATGTATAAACTCGTTTCACGTCATAACTCTGTATGTCGCGCACATAAATTGAATTCATCCGATTCTCACAATACGGAGCGATAAATTTCCCAAATAGCATTAAACACTTAAAGCCGAATCTCGTAAAAAATAACATTAAGTCTTTACAGCAAAAGAAAATCTTTTCGCAATTACAAATATTAGGTTTTTAGTGTTCTTAAAGGAAATTGTCACTGTTTAGACTGTTAATTATATAAAACACACTTTTAATACAGGTGGGATATATAGTTACCACTACGCTTTAAAGGTTAATAGACGTAGATGTTAACGGTGATTGTATATTATTAAAGGTGAGAATCGTGTTTTAATACATAATTTAAAACATTTTTGACCTTTAAATGGTTAACAACGAAATAAAAATTTTTTTTGTGTATAATATGACTGGAAAAATATGTATAAACTACAGCTGTACCTCTTAAAACCGTCAAGATTAAATGTGAATGAAAGATATAGTAACAATTCTTCGTTGTCTTAAATGTTCCTTGTGAGTGAATTCGTACTACTACATTTCCCCGAAAAAATGTAATAAAAATATATTGATGAAATGTGCCATTAATTGTTAATATAATAAATGAGAAATGAACTGAAATATGTTGGTTTTTATTCATATTACGTACATCAGGACCTTATATTAATTACTGGATTATTTTAATATTCACACATCCAGTGCACGGACTTGTGAAATCACTCGCGAAACTTTAAAAAATTCGATTCAATTATCATTCAATAGTTGTACTCTTATCGAATAATTAATCGACAGTACGATCCATTCGATAGCTACTGTCGACGTGACGTGCAGATTACGGAAGTGATGCGCGCGCACTGATTCAGTCGGACGCCATGTGAACGAGATTTTGTTACTTGGACGCGAAGTGTTTTCGATAGTGGATTAACATTGTACTTTATTGTGTTGCGTTTTAATGTAGTGTATAGAGGTAACGAAAGGTGTTTGTGTGGTGTTTTAACATTAGTTTAAAATATAAATAATGTTATATAACAGTAAAATTGGGTGGTAATGTGGTATGTGAGCTAAGTTACAAGTGAAGGTAGCTACGAGTCACGAACGAACGTAGCTTGCCAGGGCGAAACCAAGATGGAAGGCTGATTGGTACAAGGTAAGAAGAAAGATTTATATTTGTAACAGTAACAAACAAATGTGTCCTATATTATTTTGAATACTTCGTAATGTATGTGTCAATGCAGCCCGGATTTAGTCTCCGAACATGTATTCACATTGCTGAAATGTGTAAATTCGTAGAAAAACAAGTATTTGTATGATATACATTGCAAACTTTAGTTTAGAGCCTATCAATAGAGTTCGGCACGTCTTATTTTACTGAGGAAGCAGTCAATAAATAATATTTTTTTAAAATTTTAAGGATTCGTCTGAGTTCTTTCACAAACTATTCCCCCCTCCCCCATGATTTATTTCAGAAACTACCTGATGTATTTCTATTAAATGTGGCGTTAATTCCCCGTATTGATAGAAGTTGGTCTTTTTCAAAAGAAACTGAAATATTTTTATGAAAATACTTTTCATGCTAGGAAATACAGTGGATTCAGGTTAATTGGGACACATCGGGACTAGAACACTTTGGCCCAATTATGTGATGTTCCACGTAAAGAGTTTAAAAGGTTTGTTCTTTAAGATTTGTCACAAATAAATTGAAGCCCCGTTTAACCGGAATCTATCGTACTGATATGTGGTATATAGACATCAGGGCCTATTGGTAGGGCTCTTAGACCTGCTGTCATGATACAGGTCGTTATATAAAATAAATATAGACAATGAATATAAGATACAGACAACACTCATTACGAACACTTTGCACTGTAGTTGAAGCATTTGTCAGTAGAGTGGATATTTAACGAAGCAAGAAACATGATTTAACACCAACCATTACCTCTGTCTAAACCCATATTTTTTTGCATATGATACTAATATTAGGTACTTGTGGGTTATCGGGACACGTCGCTTTACAAATAGGTTAGGTTAGTTGTCATTTATTTAATTAAAATATAATAACTTTCAAGCATATGTCATTTATGCACACTTTAACCTAACCTAACCTATTTTTAAAGCGATGTGTCCCGATAACTCACAAGTACCTAATTTCATTTCACATCCAGAAATTGACTTTTCAAATTTGCATGAATTATGTATTTGATAGCTTGAACTAATAGATTAAAGCCAATAAATCAATCCAATCAGGAGAAAAAAATTGACCTTGGCAATGCGGAACCTCCCTTAAGTCAGATGCGATAAATCTATGGCTGGAAATACATCAGTTAAAACGGATTTGTTAAAATTCTACATTACGTAAAGTTGAAGTCTTATATTTTTTGACGAGAGCTATTGTCCTGAGTAACAGACAGTAGAAAATATCTACGCCTCTCATACTAAGATTTGAAAGACAAGTTTATGTTTTGCTGTAGGAGACGTAGCTTAAAACGGACGAAATAATTGAGTTGTCAAGGTGATGTCGCTTTGAGGAAAATCACGAGAAGTAACCATAGATATCTTCAGAAACACAGTCAATTTTGTGGACTAACAAGGACATTTCACAGACACGTGTATAAGATAGAAATAACTTTTAAAAATATTCAGTATTGATGAAAACACAATGGAGCGAACTACTCTTCTATTCGCTGTGGAGGAGTCTAAACGCCCAGCAGGCACGAATATGATGAAATTCAGACAGGGAACACAGAAAGACTCTCCAACAGAATATGTTTATAAAGAACTCTCAGGGGATGCTTTATCAAGGAACGTCTTTAAAAAAGAAATGACGTCAGCTACACGCATACTAATGCAACAAAGTTGCATGTTGTGGTAAAGTTGGGTTGTTCTTTAAAGGTTTGGACCAATGGTAGATTTGTTACGTAGAATGTTACTTTACGCGATTTCTTTAATATTCGTTTTAATATTTTTTTCCAAACTGCTTCACTTTAATTGTTACGAACGGAACCTTGTATGTATTTCTAATACCTGCAATTCGTGCTACATGCCCCACCGATCTTATCCTTATTCACCTTGTCTACCTAATAACATTTGATGATTATCAGTGTCCCGACGTTTTAGAGGTCCTTGCTGTCTCCATTATCAGTGTCCCGACGTTTCAGAGGTCATTGCTGCCTTCATCATCAGTATCCTGACGTTTCAGAGGTCCTTGCTGCCTCCATCATCATTGTCCCGACGTTTCAGAGGTCATTGCTGCCTTCATCATCAGTATCCTGACGTTTCAGAGGTCCTTGCTGCCTCCATCATCATTGTCCCGACGTTTCAGAGGTCATTGCTGCCTTCATCATCAGTATCCTGACGTTTCAGAGGTCCTTGCTGTCTCCATCATCAGTGTCCCGACGTTTCAGAGGTCCTTGCTGCCTTCATCATCAGTGTCCCGAAGTTTCAGAGGTCCTTGATGCCTCCATCATCAGCGTCCCGACGTTTCATAGTTCCTTGCAGGGCCCTCTGAAACTTTGGTCAACGTCTGCTACACTTGAAGAAGCTACAACCCTGTAGACAGCCTTCTTCGTCCTCAGAGCCGTCAGAACCTCAAGTGCGAATCACTGACTCGAAGTTCGCGAGCACTCGACAAAGAGCGAAGAACAGCGAAACGGAGGGAAAGTTCATTAAGTCATGTCACCAACCGGTAGGACGTTAAGAGTAGTCGCGTACCGAGAGACGCGCTCGCGTGAACTCATTTGTTACCTCGCGGAGACATCTCTGTCTTATACTAACTCGCCCAAATTTGGCGTGTTAATTTAACTGTTATCGTAGTTTCTGAATACGTAAAGTTCTTGTTTGGGAATACAGAATTAAACTGTTGAATGAACTATGGAATATAATTTGCCTTGTAGATTAATAGAAATAAAAAGTAGTTCTTATTATGTGTCTGCATGTGTGTTGATGCTCTGTTGTCTTTGTTATCACAGAAAAAGAACCTTGACATTCTTAAAAAAATATTTTCAGTTAACAATTGTCAAAGTTAATGATTCGCGTTACACGATAAACATTTCAATGAGTAACAGCGTATAATATGGGCAGAAAGATTGTTTGTTTTGATTACCAGCAGACCTTATCGAAATTTTTACACATGCAGGGCAGTTTTTAATTAAATTACGCAAATCGATGCCTTTTTTTTTTGCAAATTTGATTTTTAACACGAGCATTTTGCTTTGCGGTATTGATATTCCCTAACTTTAATATGTTTTGTGGGTTTTTTATATTTAATTTCTGTAATTAAAAGTGTCTATAGCATTACGTAACAACGTGAAAGGTGTTTTTATTTTGAACCTCGAACTACGTGTTCGATCTAATGGCTTAACACCGCTATTCATAATGAACATGAAGATACATTCGTATACATTATTTTGATTTGTGAAATATAGGGAGCTCGAATGGACTAAGAATGTGTTTGATACGTGAGAGACAATCAATACAGAAACTTGGCCCAGAAATATCTTCGAAAACGTCTACTTGTAAAACCAAGAAGTAGATGTGAGGAAAATATAACTGGCTGACGGTGTTAAATCTTCGCGTTATTATAAAATTGTAATTTTTGTCGCCATATTGTGGTCGTTCCGACTGAAATCATGATATTTGTGAGTGATGAAATTTAATGGTTTGGGGCACAAATCCCCCTGCTAAACCTCTAACTTGGAAGGTGATGTGTTAAAATAGATTTTATACAGAGCTGATAAAAGTAAATTACAGCAACAGAAATGGAATTTTTGAGATGTTCTTCTTGGTATAGAATACGTCAGCATGCGTAAAGCTAGAATTAGAAATTGCTAACCCGAAAGCAAACATCTCATAAATTGAATTTTCATTGTCATGTTAAGTATGTAAAAGCTCCTCTCACTTAATAAAGAAGTTATGGCTTATTAGTTTATTAATCGATGTTGGTCGTAAGGGCAGTGACGCGATGTGGACCGCCTGGGATTGGAACCACTGTGTGACAACCATCTCCGCCTCTCTGTCATTCTCAAAACGCTGACGCTGACGCTGACCGGACAGGAATTTCTTGAGGTGTAGGAAAAGATGGAAATCACTGGGAGCGAGGTCCGGGCTGTAGGGTGAATGATTAAACACCTCCCAGCTGAACTCCTGCAGGAGACTTGCTGTCCGTCGAGCCGTGTGCGGCCTAGCGTTATCACTCGTAGATACAGGCATTAGTTTTTGTATAATTATAATTAAGTGTTCTAATTTTGACAATACCGCCGTATGGAATAACCTTTAAATTTCGGATTCTAATAAACTAGAAACAAACAAGGAAATTTTTTTCTGATATCGTCAATTTTACAAATTTGACGTTCTACGTTAATATTATTCGATGTTTAATTTTTTAAATTTTAGAATACGTAATTCTAGACGGCAGTGTCTTAATGTGATGTATTTGTTATAAATATTTTCCAGGAATATAATTGGCGTTCCTTTATAAACACAGTTGGTATTCGTGTCATTAAATTCAGATTATAGACTTGTCCACATCCAGTGTTAGCGGTAAGCTTACATACTCTAAAGCTTATAATTTAAGATAGGTGTTCTGTTTCTAGAAAAAAAAACGTATACAGTTTTCTGGAATTTTTAGTGAAAAAAGTTTAATGTGTGTTCAGTATTCTTAGTTTTATTTTGTTCAAGTTGGTATTAATTCTATTATCTATTATATATATTAATTATTGAGAGTATTATACACATTTTGTTTACCGCAAACCCTTCAATAGAGAAATTGAATTATGTCAATATTGAAGCAAGTAACTATCGATTACGTAAAGGAATCCACAAAACCACATACCATGTACTAACACATGATTGAACACGTAGAGACGTAAATATTTCCCCTAACTCAAATTTTTCCTTCCAAAGACAGCGGCTGAAAATTTACCTACCAGGTTTAATTCTTTATTTCACCTGAACGATAAGACATAAAAACCTCACTCAGATATGTTTAAAATCAGTAATTGATATATCGGTGTAAAATAACTAAATAAATGAAGAATTTATAACTTGTGTTGGGCAAGGCCGTGGTCTAGGCAACACGGAGTTTTCCTCCGGGGGCTTCCCCGGTTTCTCCGTGGCATCCCAACAATTACTCCATTCACACACACAGAAGAA